TAGGTTAGTGCAGAAAAAGGGAAAACTGATCTGGTGAGCACCATATGGCACCTTCCCTGTTAGGGTTCAAGGGGTCTGTCAGGCTCAGCCTTCAGATTTTGCAGCCCAGGGCAGGGAATGAGGACTCCATTTGAGACAACCCTGGCTAGGCCCCTCCCCTCTAAGTTTTGTGGCTTGGGGAGAGCTCCAGGGGGGCACCCCATTTTCTATGCTGGCCAGTGGCAAGCCAAGGAGGTGGTCTGGAGTGACCCCTGGCCTTGGCCTATTTCTGCAACTGGGGTTTGACCTTGCTGCAAAAGCTGTAAATACTCGATAAAGTGGCCTGTAGTTAAACCCAGTCTGGTGTCTGTCTCTTTCTTCTGACTTGTGGGGGCAAATTGACAATGGTCCAAAGTTCATGTTGGAAAGCATGATAGGAATGTTGACTCATGTTTGCAACTTAATTATTCTAGGATGTGGTATTTTTCTGCATGAAATTTTATATTCTACTTTTTAATTAGGCTGAATGTTGAATGTCTATGCTCATTAAAGATTAGCCCATCATACTATTTAAAGCTGCACAGGAAAGAAATTCCTCTTCAATAGCAAGTAGCTCCAGTGCACAACTAATTATTCCTTTTGCTGAAATACCTTTGTTTAGAAATGATGACCAAAAGATAGTAAAGTTGTTTGTGGGATGCTTTTAAATCACATAAAGTGAATTCTGTAAATGATTTAAGCAGATACACTTAACCTGCCTTGGTTCCAATAGAGGGATTCCAATACAAGGAATCATGGTGTTTGGGAGACTAAAGATACTTGTAACAAAAGGCCTTAAAAAGGTGTCCAGATAGTCTGATAGTGGTTCCAAAACAGATCCTGAGCCCGACACAATCAGGTGTCCTGGGGTGGAAGCCCCTCTTTATGCACTTTTAGCAATACATAAAAAGCTAGCAGTCTGGGATACTGATTTAAAAGAAACTTATAGATTTTTTTCCTCTATGATGTTTAAACTGCAAGCCTCCAACAGAGTGATCCTAACTATCCTCATATGGAAAGTAGGATCTTGAAATAATCTTGATTTGAGGCTTTTATGTTTGAAGTAATATCAATTTGTACTGCTTCTGAAGAAGCATGGTTGGAAACAGGGGCTACTGGATTTCCTATTAAGTCAAAAACTAAAGCCAGAAGTGAAACTAATAACCCTACAGTAAAAGCCAGAAGTGAAACTGACATAATTCAATGGAGAGAAGGCAAAGGATAAAGAGTTAACCTACCTAATGCACTACATTGGATTCTCCTGTTGAACTTACCTGTTGAATTTTCACCTGTAAAATTGGAGTTAAACTGACCTGATGTACTGCATTGGACTTTCCTGATGAATTTACCTGTTGAATTGTATATGTTGTGAATTCAGATGTTCCTGTGGTTGTAGAAATTATTGAGGTCTTGTATATTTAAGCTTAAACTAGACAATTTTGATGTGACATGAAATATATTTTATAGGGGAACCATATGGTTGATAATAGAGATAGAAACTAGGTGTTTCATAGAATAGAATTTTATAGATATTGAATCACATGGGGTATAGTTTATTAAAATCTTTATTATAGTTTGCATATTTTGTATGCATGGTGTGTTTTGTATCTTTGGTTCCAATAGAGGCAATGGAGCTCAGCTCCTAAAAGATGCAGATTAGCGTGTATAAACTGAAACCCTGACATCACTTACTCTGGATTAGTGGTACTATGGTTTAGGGATTCTGCAGGAAGGTAGTTCAAGGAGTGAAACTCTAATGCAGGGGTTCCCAATGTGGTGCCCACTGAACCTTTCCTGGCACCCACCAAGTATTTTGATAAAGTAGATGGGGTCAGATGGGGTTTTTGCCCAGCAGAGCATCTGACTGGCACTGCTGTCCTGATTTTTTAGAAGTTACTTTGTCAGCAGCTGCTACCACAGCACAAGGATCTTTACTGCATGACTGAAGGAGTATGCAAGAAAACTTTTTTAAACAACATGTTCATTTTAAAAGGCTTCTTGGTACACTGAGCTTCTACCTGAAATATTGAAGAGGTACTATGAGAGTAATGCATTACCTCACTCCCTGATATTTTATATTTGGCTCCGCTTTCTATGGCAGCCATTTTATAGATGTGCCCAGGGGTCATTTTGTAGAAAAAGAGGTGCAGGAGCTCATTAGCACAACTCATTAGCATAACTTATTTGCATATGCCACACCCCCTGACATCACTGGAAGTGTGTTAGAAGGCAACACCCACCGCTTAGGCTCCACTGGACTGTTTTGGGCCGGGGGGCTCTGCAACTTACCTGGCTGCTTCTTGCTCTGACTGAGGGCTGCTGGGAGCAGGGGGTGGGGCTTGTTGCATGTGCCCGTCCCCTGGGCTCTTTACTGCCGGAGCTCCACTCCCGTGCGCTCCTGCAGGAAATGATCCCTGGATGTGCCCACCAACCTATGTCAGAATTCCAAAGAAGCCTGCAGGCTCAGAAAAGGTGAGGACCTCTGCTCTAACGACTCTTTGGGAAAGCTAGTGTTCCTAAACTCTTGGAAACTGAGCCATCCAATTGCAATATTCTAACCCCAAGCAACCAACAGCCCTTACTTTTAGTTTCTTGTTGAACAACCAAGGCAGGTTTTTTGCACAATTCAACACTGCGGACCTTTCTAATAGAGCCTTATTAGAAAGATAAAGGGCAATAATGCTCATTAGAAGCTGAAATTAAAGGTTTCTTTTCACAGCAGTTGTAGTTGATGAATTCCTGCTTATTTTCTGCTGTCAGAAATGTATGGTATGAATGACTGAATATGAGAGTGGTATTTGGAGGGAATTGCTGCTGCATGGTTTTAAGGCAGTTGTATATTTGTGTTCGCTTGCATATAAGGATAGTTCACTGGTCTGATTAGAGGTATCAGCCGGGGGGCTCTGCAACTTACCTGGCTGCTTCTTGCTCTGACTGAGGGCTGCTGGGAGCAGGGGGTGGGGCCTATTGCATGTGCCCGCTCCCTGGGCTCTTTACTGCCAAAGCTCCGTTCCTGCAGGAAATGACCCCTGGATGTGCCCACCAACCTATGTCAGAATTCCAAAGAAGCCTGCAAAGAAGCCTAATGACTCTTTGGGAAAGCTAGTGCTCCTAAACTCTTGGAAATTGAGCCATCCAATTGCAATATTCTAACCCCAAGCAACCAACAGCCCTTACTTTTAGTTTCTTGTTGAACAACCAAGGCCCAATTTTTGCACAATTCAACACTGCGGAACTGTATACCTTTCTAATAGAGCCTTATTAGAAAGATAAAAGGCAATAATGCTCATTAGAAGCTGAAATTAAAGGTTTCTTTTCACACCAGTTGTAGTTGGTGAATTCCTTCTTATTTTCTGCTGTCAGAAATTTATGGTATGAATGACTGAATATGAGAGTGCTATTTGGAGGGAATTGCTGCTGCGTGGTTTTAAGGCAGTTGTATATTTGTGTTCGCTTGCATGTAAGGATTGTTCACTGGTCTGATTAGAGGTATCATAAGTAGTTACGGACTGCTGTGCTCATGCTATGTGTGTTTGCACTAATCTTTTGATGTGTAGTAACAGTTTTATTTATTTCAGTTATGTATACTCCTGCCCTTTTCTAAGCATCTCAGGATCCAAGGTAGGTAGCAGCAATATAAAAACAATTTGATAAAGCAAACCTTTATGCCCTCCACCAGTGGTGTATTCCTCTTTACCCAGGCTCAGGATTCTACTAGTCTTTAATTTTCACCCATACCAACTCTCTAATTTGATCACTACCTCTGCCACCATGTCTTGGAGAGCTGATGAGTCTTGGTAGTCCTTTGCATTGCCGCCAATTAGCATTAACTAAGCAATAAAATGAACACTATCACTATACTATTGAGTCCTGAACAACAAATTGTTCCCCATTGCAAGGCTAGTTGACAATGCTTTCAGAGTTCAGTGCGCCTGGTGGACGCAGCCCCGCAATCACGGAACAACTTCTCCAGAGAGGTGTGCCTGGCTCCCTTGCTTTCGGGTCTTAGGAGGCAACTGAAGACAGTTTTATTTAGGATGGCATTTGAGTCCAAGTAAGGAAGGCATTAGGCAATTTGACACCCAAGATTGCCACAAACAAGGGTGTCAAACAGGGTTGTATTTTAGCCCCCTTTTTATTTAACATCTTTCTCAACGATCTTGCGGCCCAGCTCTCTGATTCTGATTGTCATAGTCCCAAACTGGGGAAAACACATGTCCCTGTACTACTCTATGCCGATGACACAGTGTTGTTATCCCACTCTAAAGTTGGTCTGAGGCGTTTGTTGTCTCGCTGTATTGCTTTCTTTACCAACCTCAAGCTTCAGCTTAACTATGATAAGTCCCGCAATCATGGAACAACTTCTCCAGAGAGGTGTGCCTGGCTCCCTTGCTTTCGGGTCTTAGGAGGCAACTGAAGAGAGTTTTATTTAGGACGGCATTTGAGTCCAATTAAGGAAGGCAGACTATAAATAACGTACATAAAATAATTTATTGGCAGTCCTAGTTGAGATTTTAATTTGTGCCCTTTTATGCATTTTTAAGATTGTTGTTTTACTTATATTGTAAGCTGCCTTAAATTCCACAAGGTTGATAATAAATATTTTAAATAAATAAATAGAATAGGGTTGTGAACCTCCAGGTGGGGGGAGTTCTTCTGAAATTACAACTGATCTCCAGGCTATAGAGATCAGTTCTCACGGACAAAAAGGGTGCTTCAGAGGTTGAGCTCCATGAAATAACATCCTTGCTGAGCTCCCTTCCCTCCCCAAACTCTGCCTTCTACAGGCACCACCCCCAAATTTCCGGGAACTTCCCAAGCCAGAGCTGGGAACCCCAGTTTAGAAGTGGAACTGTACAAACTCACCTGATTTAGAAACATTTCCAGTTCTACACACAGCACTAAACAGACTAAAAGCTCTTCACAAGTTACACCCACTATTTGCACTTCACACACACTACATTTCATTTAATGAATCTTACCAGTCGATTTGCAAGGGAAATAGTCTTTGAGGTGGCTTCAGCTTCTTCCTGGCATTTTAGTTTCTCTGCTGTGGCCTTCTCAAATCTGGCTGTGAGTACTGCCAGGTTTTCGTTAAGGTGCTGCAGTATGAAAAGAAGAAAATCTTGGGAGAAACAAAATATCCTGAAGTAACGCAGTTTGAGTTTATGCATTGACACAATCCTGGCCTGGGGACACCCTCAGTCAGAAGGAAGTGGGCCTCTGTTTCTGAAGGAGCCACATAGGACAAAAATTATTAATTTCATTGCCCTGAGAAATATTAATGAGATCACTCACTCTGACCCCTTAAAGGCACAAGCCTTGTGAATCCATCTTCAGCCATTAGTACCGTGCCAATTCTATAGTGAATGCCCATGCAGTCAAGTTTACCCTTCCACATAGCTGGTGGCTGCATCTGAAATGGAGTTGCCAACCTATAGATGGGGCCTGGAGTTCCCCCAGAATTACAGTTGAGTTCCCCTGAAGAAAGTGGCAGCTTTGGAGGCTGGACTCTATGGTATCACTTCCCCACTAAGCTCCAAGTTGGAGTTGACATCCCTAATTCTGAAGAGCACATGTGGTCCATTAAGCTGTTCCAGTAGAGCATCCAGTCTTCCTCAGAAACCTTCCAGGGACTTTCTTTGTCTTTCCAGCAAACAGTTACTTCTACTGGTAATTAATTTACCCTATTTACTGTTTGCTTTCCTCATGTATTTTTTCCATGTTTATTACTCTTATAAGGCAACAGATGCAAAGAAAGGTGGACTATCCTTCACCAGCAATGCAGAGCTGTGAATTTTAGCAGGATCAGCTTGTCATACAAAGCTGCACCTACTGGAACTCCCCCATTTCTAAAGGCACAGTTGCTCTGTCTTCCTCTGCATCCTGCTACCCTGCCTGCATACTCATGTACACAAAAAATCTAGAACAGAGAGAGAGAAATTGCCTCCTTGATAGACCAGTTTCTTGCCCTTGAGATTACTGCTTCCAGGTGTAATGCTTTCTTATTTATCTATATTGTTTGTAAAGCTGAGGACTGGCTGTGTGATAACTATCTAGGGCTGTTATTTTGATGGGTATGATTACAGGCTCATGCAAAAACACCCCTTTTAGCTGTGCTTTAGTGATCTAGCAGCTGATTTTGTGATGGCCATCACTTTATCCACATCTGATAATATTTTCCCTACTTCACTGTAAAACAAAAGCTGACTGTTCACAAAGTTATTGGAATGTTTTATTTCTTTGACAAAAGAACTGAAGTTAACAATTGATTTTTATCTGCATCCAGCACAAACAGCTTAAAGCTAAGTGCTTCTAAATCATTTTATACTGCTTGAACCGCCACCAAAAATAAACCTGAATATGAAAAGAAGATTATTTTAGTGACATTCCTTGATCAAATACCTGTGCAGAATACAAAGAACAGTCTGTTTAAATTTCAATACTGCTTATGATTATGTTCTATAGCTATAATATTTAAGATGTCTTCTGTAAATTAATTCCCCTCCTCTCTTTCTAAAAGGATGTATGTGCATCTTTATCTTATATATAATTTAAAAAACCACAAGGTTGATTTACTTGTTCACCACTTTTGTTTTATTTTAAACTGTTTTATACACTAATGTGGAAAGGTGGCATACCTAGATTATGTGTGGAAGGTGCATAAAATAGCACCCTTGCTGAAGCTAAGCTGGTATGGATCTGGTGAATACCTAGAAAATGGATTCACCAAGGAGTTTTATAACCCACCTTCCAAGGCAGAGTATGTAAATATCGCAAATGCATATATTTTAAACAAATTAACGTTAAAAGCAACACTTCTAGCCTTGCCTAAGTAGAGTTGCCTTTTCCTGAGAGAAGCTCTATGCCTCTAAGAGGTGCAAAGAAACTCAACAGCTTTAGGCATTACTATATTACTATATTACTATATACTTCTACTGAATTTCTGCCTGCCATGCAACTGTTAAACATACTGAAGCTGACAATGAATTCTATAATGCATATAACTCCTCAAAAATCAGTGGAAACCTAATCTATTTTTAAAGGCATGTTGTCTCTGTATCTCTTCAGAAAACAAGAGACAAAATTATGCGCAAATTGTTGATGACCTTCGCTTCTAATATACTCCTTGGTTATGAATACTTTCCCACATGAACAAATCTGAAAAAGAGAACAGAAATGATTTGGTGAACTCTCCATTTTCACCACCTTTCTCATCATTTCCCAATGGGATCCTAATAGCCCAAGAAACCTTTACATTGGGCCCCTTGGTGATACTCTGTCAAAGAAATATGCTGCAATAGAGAGATGAACATAGGCGTTCCTAATTAAAGGCTTGGCAAAGTTTCCCAGCAGCACCAATTCCAGGCTGCATTTCACTGTGATGTATTGGTGAAGAAGTAGGAAGGATTCTTTTAGACAGTGTCCTGAGTGTTTATGAAATTGATTTAGTATAAAGTGGTGAGAATCTCCAAATCCATGAATGTTAATTATTATTACTATTTATTATTATTGATATGCTAACTGTAACGTGAAATAATATGTGTGTTTTTGCCCAAAATATTAAAATAACAAATATTATACTAATAATTTAGACATGGAATTATAGAATTTCATAGTAAAAGTGATATATTGCATAAAACACGGGAATGGCCAGAAGAATATTCAAAATCTCAGAGGAACGAGTTGTCAGAATTCATGTAAGAAATATTTAGACAGGACCACAGTTTCAAAAGCATTATTATATATAGTGCTTTAGTAAATAAATGTCCACAAAGGTGAACAAATGTCCACAAAAAAACCTGCTGCACCCAAATTTATTATCCTGCCTACATATTTCTGTCATATTTTATGGCACATGGCCAGACTAAAATATGAACAAAAGCACTAGTCACTGTCCAGTTTACAATGTCCAGTTATTCAGAATTGATTCTTGCTTTCCACCATCAGGAAGCGGGCTATTTACAAGCCTAATGTACAGTATTGCACAGCCAGAATACGTAACCTGCATGAGCAGGTGTCATGCAACTGCAAATATTTCAACTTTAATTTTAAAATGTATATCTGTCTCCTGAGGGGAGGGTGGTGGGCGAAGGAACTAGAGAAGCAGTGGCAGAACATCTGAACCCTCTTTTTTTCCTTTGGAGCTTTCAAAGGGACAGTCGGGGTCTCTAGGTCAATACCTGGCCAGCCTAGAAAGAGATGTTAGCTGACTCCTATTAAAACATCCCTTTAACAACAAACTGTTAGCAACAGTTTCTACAGCAGTACTTCTGATATTCAAAATAATGCTGACCGCACATCAAATAAAACCTGGTATAGTATGAAGACAGGTTTTCTTTGTGTTCCTGAGTAATGTGGCAACCTCTTAGATGCAAGGCTAAATTTAGATAACATTAATAGTTTAGCTGAGATTAAAGGAAATTAATTTTTTGCAACTCATATGAACAATCAGAGCTTCAGCAGACGCAAAAAACTACACACACACATACACACACACACATGTATAAATGAAAATAAGAACCATTTGCTTAGATACTGCCAGGTAGATATGTGGGCAATTTTCTCCAGTTATTTTCATAAAACTTGATACTTGTTTATTAGAGAGCTTGCATAATGCATGGACCTGGCTTTATGGAACTTGTTAGAGTAATGTACCTATGTGTCCAGAAATGGTACATTGTACAGTGTCCATTTACTGGCACAAACTTGGTACTGCCCAGTGCATCATTGACAATATTAATCTATGATCTATAAACCTGATTCACAGGCTACTTTGTTCTTACCACAATCTTGGCCTTTATGCTAGTCAGTTTTTCTTGAGCAGCTGCCAGTTCCGCATTTGCTTTGCTAAGGGCCTTCCGCTTGGGCTCCACATCACAATACACTTCATAGAAGCGCACAATGTTGATGACCCAGGAGCAGAGGCCAGCAGCTGCATAGGACTTGGAAGTCACAAACTCAGGGTTGAATTCTGGATCCTGTAGGTAGGGCTGCAGGGCTCGGAGGCAGTTCTCATGTATGTTCTCTTTATTGAAGTTGATCAAGGAGTCCAGGAAGCCATCCACCTTTGACATGGCCACCTTGGCTGCTTTCCAACTTCTGTCCTTTGGAACCTTCCCATTAGGAGCCATGAGCGCCATCACGGCAGCAGTGACATTGCTGACAGTGGAAGGTGGTGATCCAAATGACTTCAGTTCTGTCAGATTGGTCTGAAAAGGAAAATAAAACAAGGTTGTTAGATGAAAATGAATGGATTTTCTTTTTACTTTGCTGGTAATAGAGTCAGGCTCCAGAGCTATCAATCAGACAGGAGCTTTGAAGCCAGGAGCAGCGTTCTGAATTTTAAATATTATGACTCATCCAGTGTAATGCAATGAATCCCTCTAGTGGCACAGGGGCCTCCGCTGGCTTGTTATATGAGAGTCAGTTGTGTGCCTTCAGCATTCCAACCAACTCTCAGGCCATTAAAAATGCACAATTAGATTACAGATTTACCTGGGATGAAAAAGAACAACAACAGAAAGAACAGAATCCTTTGAAATCAACAGACCTGCAGAGGGGATATAAATATGGCTACTAATTGGAGAATTCCGATAAGAATACATGGCTTATAAATTCCTATCCAGTTTAATTCAGAGTGGATTCATGAAATAGTGCACAGGGCAGGGGCCTCCTACACTCTTA